TTTGATAAGTTCCGAGCCTTGTGCACTTGTGGGACCCGTTTCACGAGTGCACGGCGTCTGTCGCGTCTCGAAATTTGGGTTTTGGGGCGTGACAGATTTTGTGGTATCAGAGCTTAGGTTGAAATTAAGAGTTTAAGATTAAATTAAGCACCTCCAGATTGAGTGGCATCAGAGCAGATTGAGTGATATCCGAGCCTAGGTTTAATTGAATACCTAGGATTTGTTTTGGACTTGGCTAGCCAGTGGATTTTAGACCTGTGGTGAGACGAGTGATGGGGTTATATAAGAGACGATTCTGATTCATGTTGCCTGAATTTTCTCATCCATTTCGATGAGATGGTGATCTGATTGTTCTTGTTTCTTGCCTTCATACTCTGTGTGAAGTTGTGAAAGTAATCTTGCCCGTTATGTCCTTAAGACCTTGTTTTGAAACTTGGTCATTTTCTGATAGTCCGCATTTGTTTAGACTTGTTACGTGAATAGAATTTTTGTGTACTCTCTTGCCACAATTGTGAAATCTGGGGAGTTGCAAAGACTTTTGTTATTGATCCTGTTAGTCTCTACAGCATAGCTGGTGGAGAATTTGTTCTGTTTGTCACATGACCAGTGGAGGATGGGTAAACCCTCTACTTTGCAAGAGATTCCAGGCTATTTTAGCAAATGTTGTGTGTTTTCTGGCTGTGCTTTAGGAGCTGGATAACTTGGTAATTCCGTTGCTCCTTATCTTCTGAAAGTGTTATAGTGAAATTTCACTTTTTCCATTTGGAGCTTCATGGTCCTTTCATGTGGCTCATTTTTCTGTATTGGTTAATCAAGAGCAGTGATCATTCAATTGAAATTGCTATGTTTTGTGAAGATTGGCAAACTGTCATAAAGTTAAACTCTATTGTTGCCAATCTCTACATTCTTGATATCTGGAAATTGCTTGAAACTCTTGAAATCTGTCTTGAATTTGTCTTGATATTGCTCTGTACTTGTTCTTGAAACTGAAATCCAGAAATGGATAATGATTATTGGAATCCTCATTATCTTGATACTTGTCTGAAATTAATTCTTGCATTGTCCTTGGAATCTAGTTTGAATTGTCCTTGAAAACGTTCTTGTTCTGACACTTGCTTTTGCTCAAATTCTGTATACTACTCTCGCTCTGGCTCAAATCTTGCATATTCTGCTAGTTTTTGTTTTGGTATACCTGTTGATCTTCTTGATTTTTGATTTTGTTCATATGGACACCTCTTTAGGAGGGGTGACGATCATCAAGAGATACCTATATGAGGTATTCTAAATTCTTGTCTCTTGCAAGTGTTAATCTCTGTATTCTGGATGTCTTAGGTTTGACTTGACCCTAGGATGTCTAGGATCACTTGATTGTAAATCTGCTTAGCCTCCATGAGCTACGAGGTGAAGGGGTAGTTTTTGAAACACATGATGCCCTAGAGTTTTGTTCCAAGAGAAATGGTTCTTTGTCTAGCTGCCTTGATTTTTGTTTGCCCTTTTAATTAGAAGACAGTAATCTTCTCAGCATCTTGATCCCAACCATAGCTTGTTCTGTTAATTAATTCTAGTACTTGAGGTACTAGATCTTGGCATCTTGGTTATATCTGCTCTTGAATCAGTGTTCTGATTGTCATTATTGAAATATCTTTTGTGGGCCTAATTTTTGGAATTTTATTACTTGTTTCATGGTTAACTCTTGTCTCTCAATTTTGATTGCTTGGTTAAATTTGATCTTGACTCTTGGTGAATGCCATTTTGTTGCTAAATTTTTGAGGCATTCTACCTTGCACTCTTGTGTTCTAATATTCTTCCAAGCGTTCATATTTTCTATTGATTTTATTTTGTTGCAATTCTTGAGAGTCTTCCATGTCTTTTGATGGTCCTAGCTTTTAACTCTTGTTAATTGCTAAAATCTGTCTCTTGATTTCAGTTGCCTTGTTAAATATGATCTTGGTTCTGGTTAACCTTGTTGTGGCAGAATTTATAAGGCATCCATGCATTTGTTCACTCATTCATGATTTGTATATCCATTGGATGCTTATCCGTCTTTGATAGAGTTCAAGTTTTGTTGTACTCATCTGTACATCCATGCCATTCTTTGCCAACTCGTCTTGTGTTGGGTTCAAAGCGTAACCCCACAATTGTTCTTTTGTGGCTTTGGCAGGATTTATTTTTATTCCTTGTGCTTTCCGTATTACCCCAGCCTCTAGTAGCTCATTTTATGGTAAACCCTGTTAAGTAGCTAGTGTCCTGCTGTTATGTGTAGTTGTGATTTGATATCAGAGTGGCGCGGCGAAAGCATAGTAGGCCATTTTGTTCATAGAAAGTGAGTGGGGCATTTGTTTTGTCTTGGATTGTGTGAAGCCATTCACCACTCGAAATGGTCCTCAATTTGAGTTTTGGGGACAAAACTCCTTTTTAGGAGGGGTGAGTGTAATATCCCAAATTTTCGGGAATATTTAAGTGTAAGTTAAG